ATTAAGTCCGTTATGAGCAAGTAGAGATATCACTAATACTTTTTGATACGCTTTTGTTTGCATAGACATAGCTTGGAATGCCCTCACTGAATTTTATTCCTAGCCTTTTCAAAGTCTCACATAATCCTGTGGAAAGACACAAGGCTGGGACAAATTTATTAAGGAGTTATGCCTTTGTTGAGTTCCAAGAAGCAGCTGGAAGTAACACTTTTTTTTTTTTTTCATTTTTCTAAATTCTGAAATATTTGGGTTAGCAATTAAATGAACTTCCTTGCTTTGTGAGAGGTGCCTCATGGGCAGAAAATTACAAGGGTCTTCTTATGGGCTTGCAATTATCCCATGCAAATTTCTGACACTTCATCTGATTGTGGAGATGTTTGTATAGATCAGAGGAAACCCTGCAAATAAGGATGACTTGCACAGAAGTCACAAGGATTCAGCTGCCTAAACAGGGTCTGGTGCCCCCTTAAATGTTTTAGGGCCATGGTAGGTGCAGGCAGGACGTAGAACCTACAGAAGACCTGTGACTTTCTGGACTGGTGGCTGAAAGCCAAGCAGGACACCCCAAGGTGCCTCACATCACACTAGGTGCGTATTGAATTTCACACTCGATTCTGCATAATGTCTTTGCCTCCTTCCAGGATTCCTCCTGTCCTCAACCAGGTGTCTGAGAGATGTGATGGCTTGCTCTCCAGAGATATCTATCTTTTCCTACTGACAGTACTGAGCACTTGTTTTCAGGGAAGGATGAAGGTCGATGCTGGAAACGTACCCGTAGATGGTTAAAATTAATGGAAATTAAGTGGCGATAATAATATAATTCCTCAGCGTATATCTATTCATGAAAACGTATTAGGACTCCTTCAGGACTTTCAATTATCCATCTTCTGGAATTCCAGTTTGAAGGTTGGCAGATATCCTTACAAGTAACAGTTGTTTTTACATTTGATATTTTAAGTTAATGTAGTGCTCAGCTTAATTGAATTGTTAGCGTTTCTGGAGCAGAATGAACATTCCTTAGGAACCAGAAGCAGGGATTTACTTCTACTGTTTTTCAGCTCTGGCTTGGAAAGTCCAGTCAGGCTCGCTTCGTTGCTATTTGATTGTGGTACTATTACACTATGTTTTCTTTAATTCTGGACACGAGCAAGTGACACAGTTCATCTAGGTAGAGCAGGAGTATTCTTGTCAAATACCAAAAGGTGAAGGCCTGTGCCTTGGGAGACAGGGAATACTGATTATTGTTTTAGATTTGCATCAAGTGTACAGTATGTTAATTGGTTGGACCACGAAAAAATAAGTTATTTTCTTCTTTCTGAGGCTGAAAGAATTAATACCGATTGGCAGAGGTTATAATAGTGTTTTTTGAACATCATAACCTGATTAGTTAGAAACAAGAAACTCATGTAACATAAACTGCAAATCATTTTTTCTTGTTAATTCTATTCAAATTGTACTCTCTTCTGACTAACACAACGCATTACATGACAGAACCAGTTCTGCCTGTCTTTTGGTGAGCTAAGAAGTTAGTTATGTGTTTATAGGAGATTAAAATCATCATACAGACATTTTTGTGCTGAACTTCCTTTTTTATTTTCTGATTATAAAAACTATCTTCCTGGTTAAAGAAAACATACCAGATGCTCAGAGACTTTATGCAGAAAAAAAAATGAAGATTCAAAAAAGGTATTTAATTTCAACTCTTCCTCCCCTCCCACCTAGGAGTCAAAAAATTGAGTATTTGGTCTAAGTCAAGCCATTTAATCTACCTTATAGAGACAGATGATTCCAGAGGATAATTCATCCTGTAACAGGATTCTGAGACAGAGGGCATGATTAACTCTGTGGTGGTGATTCTCTCTGTTTGCTGACTGACTAGGGAACATGTCTTGATACCCAGATTTATGCCTACAGACTTCCGTTTGGCACATGTAATGGTCTCATTCTTGCAACCCTTATACTAGAGATCTTGGGATGAGCTAGGGACTGATTCAGCTGTCATTTCAACATTTAGGGTATGTCTATCCTTAGACATACTTCAGCTCATTTTGCTTGCAATGACTTGAGAACCAGCAGTGTAGGAGAGTTAAGTCTCAGGGACTACCCATGTTCTCTAGACATGAATGACTACCTAAAAATACACTAGCTGCATTAACCTAGAACCTTCTAAGGCATCTGTATGACTTCTTAGCCTGAACTGGTAAATCCATGATTACCAGTATGTGTAATATTTAATTAGATAGAGTATCTGTTAGCCTGAACATCACTGTGTGATGGTTTTAAATTGCATATCCTGTAATGTCCCATCTGCAGGTTATTTCAATGGATAGAAGACTGCTTAAAAAGCAGTGGTGACTAAGTGGTACTGCCTTTCTTTGAAAGGATTTTCACGCTGGAGAACGTGAGAGATAACACTGAGCAGGTTAAACAATCTGATCTTGGCAAGCTAGGTTTTTTCTTTTGACAACACCAAGACGTCTGCAACTGCACAGCTGGAGGCTACCAGCCTCCTTCAACTGAGAAGCCTATATCTCAGCATTTACATGCCTGACAGCCAAAGACTCAGAACACCTTTGTAGAGACCTTTGAGGAGAGCACACAGCTCCCCTAAAAGTCCCTTATGCTGCTGTGAGATAGCCCACCACATCTTCACCATTGATGGACAGGCATTGACGCTGCCCAGGCTCCTACAGCTGGAGATTTAGCAGCTGTCATGTCAACAGAAGCCTGCTTCTGGCAACATTGAAAAGCCCTGTTTTTTTTAGGTTTGATGTGCTCTACAGGTGTATGTTGGTTAAGACCTTTGAGGTGGCTTTGTTTCATGTAAAGCTTAAGACACACGACCCTTGCTAGATGCAATTGTAACAGCTGCAGGGACTGCAGCCTCCATCCTTCATCTGGGGCCCTAAGAGCACATATATATTAAAAAGTGTATATCAAATATGGCATCAGACATGTTCATTTAATCTTCATCATTATTAAACATATTCATTTTACACATAATCTGAGGTGGTTTTGTTACATCTCAAAGCCATAAACTTCGTCTGGATGTTAGGTTTCAGTCTCAATTTTTTCCACCTTAAATTACTCCAGTGGGCAAAATTATAAATAGTTGCTGACTTTATTCAGTTCAGTGTTTATACAATTGCTTTAAGTACACACGCACACACACATAGTATAAGCAATATAAACCACTATTCTTCAATATATTTTCAAAATCTGCTTAAAATATGCATGGAAGCCTTGAAGCTTAGTGTGAGGAAAGTAACATCTTGATGTATAAGAAAGACATAATCCTAACTAACCATTTTTTGATGGACACAGGATAAAGACAATAGCCTTTTTACCACAGATGTTACAAATAGCAGCTTATCCTTTCCTCGATGAATGTGCTTTTTCACATTTATGATTCCTCCATAACAGACTTCACTACATTTTTCTGTTTAATCTTAGTTCAATAAAATATAGCATGCCTCATTATATGCTACCTCCTGTTAATTGTTCAACTCCTCCTTGGAGGTTATGACCACTCTGAACTCCCCTCGTAAGCAAAGCAGCTTCAAGTCTCCCAGAACTCAGGAACATTTCAAGACCCTTTCCCCCATATGGTAGATAGAAATAACTTATTATTTGTTTAATACTGGGCACATTTCTGCAGCAGTGGAAAGCTACCTATCTGGAACTTAAATTCCACAATTTCAGTTGCATTTGTAAAAAACCTGCCACATTAACTCGCAACACCTCAGAAGGTCCGCTTGAATATGACAAAGAGTTGTATAGTTTCCATGTGTTGATAGCTGGCTCATTCTTGAATTTTTTTGGTCAGCCAACCTCTCACTCATTTAATCTGAAGTTCTCTGGATGTTTTCTTTACATAAGAGCTACAAGGCTAACGTTACTGAATGTATCCACAAAAAATTACAGCTGCAAAAAATTTACTGCACTATTTCTTTTAGAATAATGCTAATTTTCTCCACGCGCTTAGGACAGCTTTCCCTATGATCTTGAATTTTCAGAGACAAATAATGTATGTTTACATCCAATTATTTCTGTCTATGGTTCATATAATTAAAATCTTATGGTTGTCAACTACATCAATGTCTACATGTCACAGACACCTGCTAAGTTCAAATTTATTGAGTTCATAAAATATTTTACAAGCACTATTGTCTCATGTTAACAGTAGTGAAAGCAGTCCTGTATGGATCAGGGACAATTTTGTTCTGCTTTCAAACGCCTCCCTTTCAGTGCAGAAGTTGACAATTTCTTACACTTCCAAAATCTCTGCCTGCTCCTTTGTGTGCATCTTACATACTAAAATTGCTCTAGGCTTATGCCCTCAGCTTTGTCTCTCTGTTCATGTTTCCAGCAACTAAAAGACTCGAACTGAAGATACAAAGCTGTTACTTTCTGTTACTTTGGGAAAAAAAATAGAGTTATAAGGCACCTAGCAATTGTTAAAATTATAACTTTAGAATAAATTAATGCTTAAAGAAATTAGTACAGTGCAACGGCTTTTGTCTGCTCAGACTGACCTAAACAAAACTTTATTGAATTATTAGCTTGTTCCAGTTTCATGGTTGATTCATGTTCAGTGAAAATCCTCCAGCCTTATCGGACCTTCCACATCAACTCCTGTTGCCGCTCAGGCACTTTTACAAGATTTCTCTTTGTTTGGTGTGGGGGCTGAGACTAGCAGATGGGTTTGCAGGATCATGGGTTGGAACTGGTGATGCAAATATCTGCTTGGTTTTTTTTAGCAATAGCCCACCTCTATTCTGCCTTTTTTTTTTAAATAAGCTATAATAAAACATTAAATATTTTTAGGGAATTAGCTTCAAAACCAGATTCTACAATCGTGGCAGAAACCGTGTTCAAAATCAAAGCAGAAATCTTTCATAATTTAATCATTTTGAAGTCTTACTGTACAATATCAGCTGAACTTCTCCTTTTGTTAAGTATTTCCATAAAGCAACGGCATGTGAAAAAAAGGTATTTTTTCAGCTGATGGGAACAGCAGTAATTGTCTCAGTGGTCTCATTTGATACAAATCCTCCATTTATTTTAGCATGTGATGACGTTGATTTTGAATCCTCTTTTTCCTCTGTTTTCTCAACATCCATCTTTGTCTTGACCTGGTGCCTTCTGTAAACACGGTAGCCTGGGAATCGATACATATTTGGTATTAAATAAAGAAATTATAACAGTTGCCTAAAAAGACACAGTAGTGACATGTAACCATGCAATATTTTCCTTCCTCATATTGATAAATCATTCCAACATTTCCAGACAGTTTCTTCAAAGCTATATTTATTTATTTTATGTCAACAACACTCATCATTGGAAAAGCGCGTTTAGAAAATAAGAACAAAATATTTTATATCTTGCATTTAATATTTGACTGTTTTGCGTTCCTGTTGTGCATAGTGACTTTTAAAAATATTGTCTATCACCCTTGGGAAGCCCTTGGGCTCTTGGCTGGATCCGTGGGCCTGACCTGTGAGTCCTGTTTGGCATCAGCTGGGTGGTTTATCTGGCCCCGTGCTGTCACCTGCCAGAGAGGTCAGAGTCAGGGCTGTGCCTCGCAGGCTGTGTCCCTGGGACAGTGCTCTGATGTCGAGTAAGATGGCTGGTTTGGGAATGGGAGCTCAATAGTCACAGTTGGTTTTAGGGGTGAGCAACAGGGACAAGTTCCCTACTTTCAGTAGGTTAGTTGTAGTAGCAGCAGTGCAACTCATGAGAGATGTATGTGGGAGGAAAAAAGGACCTTTACCTCTAATGGAAGGTATTTTCTCACATTAGCTATGAGGCTAATGCCTGTTCTCTCAACAGCTGATAAGAGGGAGAGTGTGTGAGTGCCTGTGGGGATGCCCCGGCTGTGCAGCTCTATGTCCAGACACCCTGGGGTGGTAGAAGAAGACACGTTTGCCCTTCCTCAGCCAAGGGTAAGAACAATCTTGTGCTCAAGGTATTCTCAAGTGCCTGATTGTAGGTGCTGGAGATCCCCTCTCTTGTGTTGAAAAAAAAGGGCTCTTCCAAATCTCGACCTGAGTCTTGTGTATTCCTAGTTATGTAAAAGGCATAGCATAGTAGTGATGCTCAGTAATCATCTGGGTCATTATTTACATAAATATTTTCCATTCGACTATTTTATCCCTTCTTGTTTTCTCCATATCCATGAAAAATGAGACTGATAATGATAATTCAAATGCTCTAATAGAAAATAGCTATACTTTACCTGCTAAAAATAGTAGTGCAAACAGTATCTGGAAAATGCTGTAGATGAGTGGGAAAGTAAACATCAGTTCAAGTTGTTCAGAGGTGAAGGAGAGCTGTACTATAGTTGAACATAGCTGAGTGTTTTGCATGCCTGTTTCCAGAGACACTGTACGACATCTAAAGGGAATAATACAGAGACAATCATGAAATAGCAGCCTGTGTGTCCTTATGCTTTTTAGTAATTTGGATAAAGAAGAAACATACAGTAACTGAGAAAATGGTATCCTTCAGCTCACATAGTCAACAGAAAACATGAGTCATATGATTGTTACCATCAGAACACCCACAATTTATGGCAGTTCAGCAATTGTAAAGGACTGTGCTCCATCTTCAAGCCACGCATGCTATATTCAGTAACACTCATAACCTCCCTCTCTTGTAATTATAATCTGAATTGTAGGCTGCTGCATCTTCATGAGAAGTTTTACTGCAGTCCCAACCCACTTATAAATCAGGTCTGTTTTGTCCACCTCGTTTGAAGTGCAGGACATAGACATACAAGGGGAAGACGTAGGAAAGATTGGAGGAAACAACGTAGTCGGAATCTATAGATAAAAATGTGCACAAGAAAAGTTTCATCTACATATAATCCAGAAACTGGAATTCCTCAGATTGAGGAATGAGTGACTCTGTAGCATAGCTAATGTTTAGGGATAGTTCTGAGCATTGATTAATCATTAAATAAAAACTTCTTTTACAGCTCAGATTAGACTACAGGTCTTTGTCACAGAGAAATCTGTACCTCTGCCAAGACAGACCAGCTATGCGGGCCAAAAAGAATCCCAGAGTATAGCCAGCTGCTGGAAATATGGTGCCAATGATCCATAACTTGGGTGAGATAATCCAGGAGCCTCTGTAGAGTATTCCCCCAACCACAGCAACGATCACGATGAGGACTGCTCCCACAATGGAACCA